ATGCACCGGGTCAGGATTATGATTGCAGCTGCAAGAGATTTCTGGGTCTCATCAATAGCAATTGGGATATCAACATTAAAGCATGTCTCCGCATCAAAACAGATTGTGTTCAGAAAATCAAAAACAGAAGAAGATATTTTGATGACATACCGCCGTATACCGGTATATTGAAAAAAAGCTCATTTCTTTGGTCACTGAATATTTAACAGGTAATACCTTATTTTTATTTGTGTCCACAATATTCATTTTTTTTTTAATCATTATTCAGTGAGGTGATTATAGTTGCTGCAACATTTGAGCACTTCCCAAAGAGTACATTACCTATCTTTCCATTGCAGATAATTATCACATTTTTTTATCCTCCATGGCATTCTGCTGCACATATTTTCAAAAATTAAAAAAAATACACCATCAAATTTTATCCAATATTCTTAAGAAGCCACCAAAACTTTCTGTAAGTGAAAATGGTATTTTCATGCACAAAGATTATTCAGTCAACGTTAAAATTGGGTAAACGATACAAACAGTTCAATTCAGCCAACAGGTGCACACACTGAATAACCTGCAACCTAATTGATTACCTTGCAAGTCTGCGCCAAAACCCTCATTGGGTTAAAAAAAAAAAAAAATCACGAAAACAGATCTTTTCCTTCAGAGTAGCTTCCTGGCAGAGGAAGCGATCTTAGAGGGAAAAAGGAGAGCAAACCGCAGTCTGAAAATTTAACCCAGTTGTGAGAGGTTATCAGAGAGAGGTTGACACAAATAAAGGCCAACTTACATCCGTAATCCATGGCAACAAATCATTTCAAAGCGCTACAGGTCATTAAGGCCGTGTCGGTTCTCCTTCAGATGTTGCCGCCGTGTCTCGTCTTCGGTGCATTACAAGCCGACGTCTCTCTTTAGCAGACCGCTACTCTTCTCTTCCATTACCTCCTATCCTCTATAAATACAAGGACCACTACCTCTTAACCAACCAAAAAAAAAAACCTTTTGAAAAAGGACGGCATATTGCTTTTTGTGTCATCATCTCCCAGGCAAAATGAAAATCCATTTAAAATAATAACTGTTGAAAGGTGTTCCCCCCGAAGGCAAAGAGATGGCGGATGGAGATTGCGCGGCGGCAGGTCGTAAGGTTGCACTCTGATACATTTCAAAGGACGCCGACACGGGCAGAATGCATCTGCCTTCTTAACAAATCCTGAATTTCCATAATCAGACGGAAACCCCGCTTTACTTGGGATGACTTTTAAGGAAGAGCAAAGAGGAGGAGTAAATTGTGTCTAACTTTTCCGAGAAGTTCAGCATCTTAACATTTGTAAGTTTAAAATTGTTGTTTCTTGGTGAGACAGAGTTTGGGCGAAACACAGCCAAGTTGGTGTCTGTGGTGATAATATTCACAGCTCGGGATTTGTCACGCTTTTATTATTTCTTTTTGAAAGGCTGTGGAGCCTGGCTGGCAAGTGATGGTGTCGGTCGCTGTTAATTGGCCATACATCAGCCTGGAGGTAGTGTCATGGAATTCATTTGGACAAAAATTACCCAACACTGCATTTTTTTTCAGGGGGTCGAGAAGAGAATGAAACTTGGTGTTGCGGCAGCACGGCACGGCCCATTATTAACTGTCCCAAGTTTTTTATCAGTTGCATATTTGCAGCCTGTTTGTCCCCATCGGCTATTTCTTGCCACTTTTTTCCACATTAATTCCTTTAGAAGATCTTGTTGGGTAAGGGGGGGGGGGAGAGATTCCCAACCCCTGAATGAAGCAAACTCTCTATCAATTCAAGTTTGTTAAGATGAAGTGGATGGATACTGCCACTTTACCAACAAGAGGGCCGGAGGACATCACTAAAGCCAAGTCTCGGCGGACGACAGATACTGAAGAAAGACCGACCCACTCAGGTTTCCTGTCAAAAATCATATCTCATCCACGTACAAGGACTGAGTAATTGAAAAGAAATTTTGTCGGAGGGGGAAAAGGGCTGCCCAGGATTGTTAATTTCGTACAAATTTGCTGGAAACATGGTACTTGATGTCGGTAGAAGGCAGTAGGCTTAACAAATCTTGGGGAACAATTAGACCGGGTGTTACAGAAGGAGGTTATAATTGGAGTGTTTTGATGGCAAGAGGGGAGGGGAGGGGGTCTGGTAATGAGACAAGATGAATTTGGACAAAGAGAGACGAGAACATTGTTCATACACACATACTCTAAAAACACTCAGCTAGATGTTCAAGTATTTCTGACATATACCTGGCAAACTTTTATCTGTTTGTGAACTTGTTGCTAAATTTTCACAAATTCCAAATGCTGCTGGCAGTGGCAGTGGTACACATGTAGTGGACTTTAAAAAAACCCACTTCTTTAGGTACAAGAACATATGCAGATGAACAGTAAACTTTGCTATGAGTCACTATGCAAATAAATGCCAGTTTCAACCACAGTGACCATCCTTGGACCTTTTAGTTTATTTAGAGAGAGTTTATTTTGGAGCTTCCCACATGCAGCTTAACTTCAGGATAATTGGCCCAGCAATTGTTTGCCCTTTTGTCAGGGTACCATGCATGTTAAAACTCTCCCATATGGGTTTCACTGGCCTGATGGAAAACTTGCCCTTGACGAAGCCAAACCAACCCATGGACAGTCTAATGATGTCCCTAGGCACATCAAAAAAGTGATCTAGAAATGTTGCTGTGTGCGACCACATTTTCAGAGCTACATGTATGTAACAGGTGGATTCAATGTAATTGAAATTTACATTTCCTGAAAACGTGACAGGTTAGAAAATCTTTTCGGAACACAGGAGAATAAAAAAAATCTGTACTGAGCTATTTGGTAAGCATGTAGTGGGGTAAAAGGTGTACCTTTGGCAAGATTTGGAATATTTAACTTGCAGTATTACATGAATGACAGAAAAAAAGACATCGTTCCTCTGCATTGAAACAGGGAGGCAATCTTCAATAGGGAAGGGGGAATCTAGGAAGGGGAATCTAGAAAGGGGTTCATCATGTGTTACATAACAGACCCTTGCTTCCTTCACACATTAACTCAATGGCTTTTACCCCGGCTCCAAATTGGAAGTTCTAAGAGGCACTGTTCCCAGAAGATTAAAATAAACGAGACACCTCTTGAAAAGGGAAGGAACTGGTCCAGGAATACCAAGGAGGAACGGGGTCAATTTGTCAAAAGCTTAGCCACACTGGACTGCGGAGATCCAAAGGAAATACATGTAGGTAGGGGAGTGTTCCTGCTTCCCCCCCCCCTCCCCCCCCCCCCCCCCCCCACCAATTACTTCTGGCAGTAAAAGTTTGATGAACTCGGAACTTATTTGAAGACCTTTCTTCTCACCCTCACTGTGTCATCAGGGTTGTTTGCTATCCGGCACCACAATTTGCAACTCTGGTAAAAACGTGGTTTTGAAATGTTGTCTTCATCCATCAAATTCGACACAACATTCAATGACACCATTTGACCGCGGTACTATGATGTGCGGAGGTCTGTTTACAGCAGCACGCGAGGTCATGTGGTTATCATGTGACAACTAAGTCAGCTAGAGTCAAAGTATGTGGTTCCGCATTATTTTTTTGGCATTAATTTTGCAACAAAAATGTGTACAAAAATGTAGATCCACAACTAGATTTTTGATAGAAAGCACTTTCATTCTTTGAAGCACCTTCAAAAGCTACAAATGTACCTACCCCGCAAAGCAGGCGAGGCAAGGCCCCATGTGCAATATTGAAATAAAACATTCTAGTTCTGAAACCCTAAAACCCCACTTCAAACACATATAAACCAAGCTTTAACAATTTCAGCTGACTTTGAGTGTACTAAATCACACATTTCACAGCTTTTTTTATTCCACAAGAGAAAATACATCCCGCCCTAAGGCCTTCGGGCCGATACCTGCATTTGATGGCCAATCATAAACACGGCCCTGCAACCCCTTTATGGTGTTTTCATACCTCCGATGTTAGGAAGGGATATGGGTTAACGATATGGGAGTGCACACACTAAACTCAGCCTGACCCACTTCCGCACGGGGAGTCAGCTCCCTACTGTGGGAACATTTTAGACACGGCTTTCTAGAATGCCTGGTATTTTTACAATGGAAGTAAAAGCTGCCTGTACAAACGTCATACAGGTCTTCAAATTGCCCAGTAAATGTCTTTTAAGAATTCACGAGGTGCTTTACAGATCACAGTTGAGATACAGTTAATGTTTTTCTATCCCACTTTTAAAAATTTATTCTGGATCCCCCCCATGAGTTTTTCCATTCAGAAACACTTGGTTGGTATGTGAAAAATCAGATCAGTGCAGACAATTTTAGACCTTTACTGTTTCTCTCGTATCTGACTGGCGTTCCTAAGTCCCACTGACTGAACTAAATTATTCCAAATATTTGAATAAGGTACATGAAAAAATTTGACGTTTGAAATAGTAAGCAACCATGTCAAAAGATCAAATGTTGCAGTCGTTCACAAGAACTCGACTGGAGCGTCATAATTTTAGACATCGCTCAAAATACTTTTGGTTCAACAGGAGTCTGGAATGACTGTCTAATACAGGTGAAGTCCTTTTAAGTTTATCCAGTTACAAATGTAAAAAAAAAGCATGGAGTAATTTAAAAATCTTTTGGTATCCTACATTGATAAGGGCAAATTAAACAATTAATCACTTTCTCATCCAAGCCCACTTCCTTTTTCCTGCCCGCCTCTTTTTTCTTTTCTTTATTTATACATTTGCAATATATTTTGCGAATATCGTCTTTTCTTTGTTTCCAAGGGGTTAGGCCTACCGCTCCTTTGGAAACAATTTTGTATCTGCAAAAGAGTCGAGAAAATGACGAAGAATCCATCTGCCATCTTGGGAAATCTGCCATCTTGGAGGAAAAAAGGGGGAAAAGTGCCTGCCTCCTTAATTTTTTCAATTTTTTTTTTTACTGTGCCTTATAGTGATACCATCATCCCATCATAACCTGAACAACAAAACTGAGTCAAGAGCTTACCGGCACGGGGCTTAGTTGAAAACTCCTTTTCTCAGAAGAGTCCGAAGAGCCCAGAAGAGCGACCTTAGAATGCCACAAGGATTCCTCCGACTCCTGAAACTGGTTGTTCACACAGCCACTCAAGACGTAGCCTCCTAAACATGACAATAAAAGAATCAAGTTAAGACACAGAAATGCCAAAGTTTTAAATTTCTACTTTAAGTTGAATAAACGGTTGACCAACCATAAACAAATTTTTCTCCAGCAGATTTTTTTTTCAGAAATAGTTTATAAATTACAATAAACACAGTGTGTGGTATCAATAAACATAGGCAGCATACTATATTTTCAGCAGATAAAAACACAAGTCAGCCAAGTAACTCATTTTTCTTTAAAAAAAAATTGGCAACCGTCTTGAGAAGATTGAGGGCAATGAACTCCATTTGGGAACTCGTGTAACACTCCTGTGACCTAAGCACGAGAGGTTTACATCTTTACTTGGCCCTTTCAAGAGTTTTTTGCTAGCTCAAACTCTTTAAGTGTAAACAAATAAAGCACATGAAATGTGCGCATAACTATTTTTCCTGGTTTATCCTATATAGGTCAATAAACAATCTGAGTAGGTCTGTGCATCAGAACCGAGTACATTGTACCCGAGTACCTGACCACTGTTTTCAGGAACCGGTTCCAGATTATGGGATCAGGTACCCGTAACCAACTTTACAAATCACTTAGTAACTTCTCAGACGGTGAAAAAGAAAGGTTTAGAATGTCATTTGCGGGGAACTTTCAAGAAAAACACAGGCTACATGAAAAACAAAAAACAGATGTCACATTTATGAACGCATGCAAAAGTTGCAATTTTCACTGTAAAGCTTTACTGTACACACTTGAATTACTGCACTGATGCACAATTGTGGTTGTATCATCACACAGACCTTTATGAACAATCTGAACAGAAATTTCAGAAATTTTAATTTTGGAGTTGGGTTCCTTAAACCGGTACTCGGGTACCTGTTTTGGGTTTTTTTTTAATCTGGTGCCTATACTTAAATGCACACCCTAAATCTGAGGCATGTGTTCTGAGTAACTTGGTTTAAATCTCCAAGTCATGAGTTTATACAAGGACATTGGCTAATGGCTTGTATTCTTTTTTGAACAAGGCCAATTTTATGGCTCTGTGAAGAATTTTTGCTAACTATGGTCAAAAATTCTGCCATTTGGAATTTAGGGTTTTAGTGCGTGTGTACATATATCCCGTAACAAGAAATGTGCATAATCAGTCTGAACAGAATCTATGCTGGAGTTTTAAGCACTAAATTGTGATCATTAGCACAGAATTCTGTGGTTAGCAGAGCCATGAAATTGGGCCTAGCTTGACCTTTGCAGGTCAGCAGCCTGGTGCATCTACTCTGGGTTGCAATACACAGTAAATCTATCCACTGGTAGTTTAAAATCAATCACCATAATAAATGAGGTCAGGTCACCAGTTGAACAGGGTACCATGGACAGTGAGTACAACAAGGAAAGTAGCATTGATTTAAGAGTTCACGTCAGAACTCTACTTGTAAAAAAAAAAAGGGAGGGGTTAAGAAATGTGGGCGGGAACAAATCATACCTTCTGGGTTTTCTCTCCGTTTAGTGCTTGCACTGGCGAAACCTAGATTGGAGAAACCTGCATTTGAAAATGAAAAGATAAGAATGGGACAAAATGTCAATGCGTCATTTCTTAAATGTCTTGCTGAACTTCCACTACGACATGAACAGAAATTTGCTACTTGGTAAATACCTATGTTCCCCAAAATCCTTAGGGTTAGGCTTATAGTTAGGGTCTGGGAACATAGGTATTTATTAGGCAACATAGGTATGCACCCGCTGATGGAACAAATCAACTCGGATGCCACATTATTGGTTGTGAACTAGCTGGAGTTACCTCAGCCCTAAATTGTATCATTGGGTTGTCATTTAGCCTAAATGACAACCCAATGACAAAATTTAGTTACCTCAGCCCTAAATTTTATCATTGGGTTGTCATTTAGCCTAAATGACAACCCAATGATACAATTTAGTTACCTCAGCCCTAAATTTTATCATTGGGTTGTCATTTAGCCTAAATGACAACCCAATGATAAAATTTAGGGCTGAGGTAACTCCAGCTAGTTGCGAAGAAAGTTTGTGGGGAACCTTGCACAATAAATAAACTATATTCTAACAACCTTTAAAATGTTCCTCATTTTTTCAACATATCTCAAATGAATGACCATTGCATTGTCATGTAAAATCATCATGACCATGGAGCTATTAAACACTTTGTTAATAATTATTTTCTTGTTTTCAGAACATAAGACTATAGGTCTCTCGCTCAAAGAAGGAGAACTGCAACTGCGTATTTTACGCAATCAAGCATGCATTGCGCAGTGTTGAAAATGTTCCAAACACGAGCGATTGTTGCTTGAAATGTGTTAGAAATACGACGCAGCCGATGCGCGTTACGCAAGTTGACGCTCCAAATGCCGATGCACGTGGCTGGTCTGTAGGATAGAAATGACGTCATTTAAGAGAAACCTACTTTCAAATTTGCCCCCAACTCCAAAACCCAAAAAGCTGGAGCGAACGTGATAAGACGTTCCAGTTTCATAAATGAGAACAGCAAAACGAGTTCCCAATCTGCAATGATTAGAACGACTCAAACTAGATACAAAGTCCTGAACATGCTGAATAAATGAAAAGGTAAACATGGTAAACAAATATCAAACATTGTCAGGCGGTAACAAATCTACATCAATTGTATTTGTAATAATGCCTAGGCCTATTTCCAGTATAGATGTACTCCACAAAAACTTCTTGAAGAAACAGCAAAACGCATTTCCAACAGCACTTGCAGTTGCACAGCATGCATTTAGACCACACCACAGAAAGATACACAAGACAGGTCCACCACGAATAAATTCCACGGCAGGCATTTACCAATGTTCTTGCTCTGCGTCTTCCCCATGGCACATGCAGTGGCGGTGGTGGTCGTCAAACTTGCCCAACATGTAAGCAGAAAAAGATCACCCTAGACCATCAAGTAGCAACGCCATCCATTGCGGAACTGTCCACGTGTACGCACCAATATTTCTGGCAGGAATTCACCGTGTCGAAGTCATTGTAATCCGTAATTTGAAGTTCAGTTTTGACCAGTTTTCGGCAGATACTCGTTTGTGTACACCGCTTACATTTTTGTGTGTATTTTACATGCAGAGCAAAATTCCTATAAAATTACACGTACAATGTAGAGCTGGCCCAGTTTACACTGGTAACCATTCCCACTACTATTGATTTCCACATGAAACCGGGCACCAGTTACACAGCCAACTACATTCGACCACAAACGGGCGGTATCACTGAGCTGTCAATCACTCGCACAAAGGGCGGCGCTTTACCAGGAACTGCATTTGATTGGAACAAAAGCGCAGTGTAAGTTTCGGAGTCACCTGCAGACAACCAATTAATTAAGCGCGACACCTGTCTAGCTCTACGCGTTAATGGACTAGTAGTTTATTCATCAAGTCGGCGGTTTATCCCGCGCGAATGGCTATTTCCCACATTTAGCGTTCAAACTTTAAGAAGTTTTGTACATACACATTGATCGAAATGCACTCTCGCCTGCTTTTTTTTTTTTGTCGGAACGCAGACTTTTGAATTACAAATGCCATGCAAAAAATAATTCATGACTTTGTTTTAGGAAAGTCTCAAAACACAGACATTAATTTGAAACAAAAAAATACAATTTCCCTTTGTTTATTGTTTACCTCGGAAAGCGGATTTCCCTTTTTCTCGTCGTCTTTAATTATTCGTAGACCTCTGTCGTTTGTATTTGAGTGATGAAATCCCCAAACACGCCGACAAAGGTGCTTTATTTGGAAAACATTGCCACTCGGATGGAACTGGAAGCCATTGGAGTGTGCTACCGATCGGATATGGGGCCCTCACCTTCACGGTAATTCGCTTCCTGTTTTCTTTGCGGTGTGGGGACGGGGGTTGACCGGCTTGGGCCAGCACACCGCGCCGTGCTAGCTAGCCGCAAGCCCGGGGATTCGCTTCAGTTTCGTCGCTTTGGTCGTGTATATCATCGTTAGAAAGGTTGTTATTACTTTCGTCATGTAACATGATGACGATGATTGATGAATCATCCTTAACCTGTTCATATCGTTTTATTATTTGGATTTTTTTCTGAGTCTGATTGAATTTTAATAGGCCTAGGTATACTCGTCCGAATCCAAGAACTTGGCCTGACTCTGACTCTGAACACACAAAAACGAATTACTACAGCATCTTACCGAGAAAGTTCCGAAAAATGGACGGCATGGAAATAAGACTTTAAAAGGGTTAAGTCGTCAACTTTTCATTACAAAGGATATTTTAGCATTATCAGTAGGGTTCACACAAAATCGCCCTCTTCCGAGCAAAGTAAGGCAACTGAGACGTTCTTTTGTCTGTTCATCCGTCCGGGGCGGGGGGGGGGGGGTCGTGCCTCATCTTACTTTCCTCCCTCTTTTGAACTTGAGCCCGTCACTCCCACGTGGAGATTGCAAGGATTATTTTACATAAAGAATGATTTTTAGTCTTCTGTTTTTTTTATTGTGCAAATCCGGTTAATGATTTAATTTTCTAGAAACTATAATAGTTATCTTGGGGCCGGGACTCCACTGACATTTTTGTTATGTACCGAAGCACTGGTCCTTAAAAAACGTAAGCGACTACAAATCCATTACCAATAAACGACCGAGATGTTCAGCAATGTAGACCGCGGTTCTTTACAGTGTATAAAGTTGATTGTCTTCCTGATGACACGTGATCAAAGGATCACAAAGGGAGAGCCGCAACTAAGAATAGCCTCCGGCGTTCACCTGGCAGATGTCCTCTGTATAGGTGTCCGGAGATTTCAGGTCACTTACTCCTCATCATGGATACTCTACGACACGACACGGACAATCTGGCGGTGTCCTTTGATCTTCATTCATACTTTGTTCTCGAGCCGTGATGATGGTGATGCATGGTGCGTCCGTGTGGACAATTAAATCCATGTTGCCGGGCCACTCTCGACTCCAGCGGCAAGGTGTTTGGCTGTGACCGTCGACGTCGCGTCCTTCCCAAGAGGAGGTTGACATGTACGCCCGTCTTATTTCACAAAGCGAGCTTTTGTGGCTCACTTTCACAACGGTTGGATATGGATTCGTCCACCGAAGTTGACTGCAATAAACTCTTTTGTTTATGTCAGTTGGTATAATGTCATGGGAGGAGGTAAACGTCTGGAGAGAGACTACGCCCTTCCTACTTGGAAATCAACGAATACAGCTATCGAACAAAAGGTGATCTCCGAAACAAAATTGAAGTTCTGAATTAAAAAAAAAACAGCGCATACAGAATCAATTTGCCCATGAGAACAAGTGAATTGATTAAACCGGGTACAGTGTAAATGCTAGTTTTAAAAACCAGTTTTAGATAGACGGTGTGGTACCTATGAGGTTTTTCCGAGAATCACAAGGTCGCAATCCTCAAGTTTTCCGCACTCAGTATAGGCCTATGTTAAATTTTAAAGCATTTTTTATAGACCATGTAGGTTTCAAGTGATTGTTTGAAACAAGTGGGGGTTTTCGGCGAAATTCGGCACCATGTGATCACAATCATTTCTCGTAAGGTTCGTCGTCTAGCCTACGTCTTGGTCTTAACATAACAAAGGTTAAACGCGTGGTTCAATGACGTTATCAGAACTCACCAACAGTAACCTATTCAAAAGGACGACGGACAAGAGAACGCATTACCCGGAAAATCATGGCTTGAAGTTGAAGTTAAGTCCGTAATTGGCCGGGTTTAGTTCGCCCACCGAGAGTCCCAGTGTATTCGTGTAGCGTGCGGTATGGCACCATAATGCGCGGACGGTTTGTGCATCCTCGACCCCAATATGCGTGTACGTCGATACCAACTAAAACCGTATGGAACTTACCACTAGCTGTTACTAGCTCTCAGTCTCACCATAAAAGTTTTCATAAATGTTTCTTTTCGACGAAAAAAAATGAATTAATTGTTCTCCCCGTGGCTCCGGCATAATTCTGGACACACCAATGCCCAAAACGGAAATGACCATACGAGAAGGTCCCAACGGCCAATGCGCAAATTGCCAATTATTATACAAATGTCATTATGATTAATCGTCGCTGTTCACTCGTAAAAGGAAAAGTTAATTTGGCGTGTGATTTGAAATAAATGGCCTCAGAGCCGAGAGGTCAAACTCGAAGGAAATTGGATGCGGATGGTCATCTTGTAGGCCTATATCTGCCGTAAACGGCGGTGACCGTCGCCATGTACATGTTAAAACCCCCGAGACATTTTTGTTTAAATGTACCATGGTACTTCGAAGTAATAACATACTTTTATTTGCTCATTGAAAAGCAAAGTGTTTCAGACAAACAAATGTGACACTAATAATTGATTTAATATTTAATTGAGTGCCTCTTCAGAAATCATGCTTATCTTTTGGAGGCATTTTGTTCCCTTTCGGCAACCCGTCGGACTGTTTTTATCGTACGTAACTCTCCCCTAAAAAAATTTTTTTTAATTTGTATTGGACTATATTTAAACTCGTAACATAATTTTAATGAATATACGAGAGTAATAAGAAATCTTTAACTTCCTTTTTCTTTTTTTGAGCAATTCGCTATATATGCGTCCATATTTGATACTTTCCAAATGTATATCGCAAATTAACATTTGTGATTTTACGAATTACATGCAAAGGTCAGTGTGGATTAAAGACCTACAAGTTCTCTATCATCAGCATCTAGTTAGTGTTGTGCGTTCAGCCCATCAGTGGTGTCCCTACACCCAATTAGAAGGACGAGTTGATGGTTAACACATCGTCCCAACCAAATGGACAAAACTAATAATTCCCTAGGGTCACAGACAAGACAAGTTCCGCCGGCCAAACGGAGAACATCCCTGATTCGAGATACTCAGAGAGAGAGAGAGAAAAAACATCCGAAGCTCTCCAAGAAACTAAAACATACGTCTATACACATCATCAATGTGTTATTATTTATACGAGCTGGCTCATTTAGGCGTTATTGGCGGCCGAGTTCAAAGCGATCCAGCGCGCGGGGAGCCAGCGGATGGACCTAGTAATCACAGACCGTCCTGTGCATGACGAAACAATCCACGCGATGGACTCTTCTCTCCGATCGCGGCCACACACCGCCGCGGCGCGAGCTGATAATGACCCACGGAGCGCGTCGGGGATCAAATCATTTCGGATGGATTCCGGGGAATAATTCGCCACTTCTTGAGTCCTTTGATGAAGCCGACGGGAAGAGAGTAAAAAGAGAGAGAGAGAGAGGACGGAGAATAGGGGCATCACGTCTTGCTGAGGGGATACTGCGGGAGCAAAGAGGAAAGTGGTGCATGAACAAGCTGAGAATTAGAAAAAGAGTTTTTAACTCATGACAGTTTTCTGTACACAAAAAAGCTAACAGGAAATGGGGAAAAAACACTGATAAGATGAAGAAAGAGAGTGTTAGTGATGCAACCCTTTTGTTCATCCACTATGAATGATGTTATAATCTAAAACCTCCATTGCAGCACGCTGCCTCGACAGTATTAAAATCGATTCTCTAAACACAGTCCATACATCACACATTTTAATGCGCTTTACAGCGGCAAGAAAGCTAAGGATACGAGTTTCTTTCTCCCCCGCTCGGCCGCCTTAATTGCTGTAAATAAGACCTCTCTAAGTAATTAAGTGTCTAATGATGCCGCTCAAAAAACACCGAGTGTAAATAAGTTTGTCTTGAACTCCTGAAAATCCCTTCGGATAAAAGCCATAAACGTAGACCCTCAGCCACATTCTATCTTGGAAGAGTGTATTATTACAATTCAGCGAGTGAGGTGGAAAAAATAATATGGATATCCTGGTTTGCTGATGATGAGCGGCAGTCGATTGCGACGAAGGACAGACGATGATTAGGATGCTGGCGCCAGCATTGTGTCACGGTTTCACAGACAGTGGGTCGTGAGTCCCGCCGCCGCTCAAATGAGTCAGTTTATGATATGAATTAATTAGCTTTGAAAATCGGGGAAATTGGTTTAAAGGCGTGTAAATTGCGGCGTAGAACCGACACTAAATTATCAGTTGTATTACGCTGGTCGTAGGACATCGCAAGGCCTAACGCGACGTGTAAATATTGCAGTAATTTCGTTCGATATTACTTTCGAAGTTTTAGACAGAGAAAACAAGTTCAAAACCGCCACTTGTATTTTCCGATCATTGGGGTTTATACTGTACTGGGCCCAATTTGCAGCAGGGAGGGCACGTAGTGGCGAATTTGGGAGGGGACTCGGTTGGTTATATTTGAAAAACCACACTTCAGTCTTCCCCCCAATTCTGGGCAAGGGGCCTGAGGGGGGGGGGGGGGGGGGGGGTGAGGGGACCTGCCTCAAAGGGAGGGGGGTGAGTACCCCTCTCCCTCCTCCTTATCCCAGCTACTATTTCCCACCTATCCTATAACTGAAAGACTTTTTAAAACACCTAAACCTCAAAAATCAGCATTGTGCATTTTTTTTCCTTGGATAAAAATCTCCAAATACAGTCCTTCGAATTTAGTGGTTTTTTTAAGGATCTTTTATTATTTAATAATTAAATCACTAAATCTGTCATTGTATATAGACCGTGTAAGCACCGTGCAATGAATGACAATTTCAGGGTTGTTATGCTCACTGGACATCGACAAAATGCGATGTGGAAAAGTAAAACCAGAAGCTACATGTAAAATGTTGCCAACAGAGGGCGCATTTGTCTGGAAATCTTCGGACGAGGACATCGCAACGACGATAAAACGCACTGCGTGGATGAAATTGAAAAGTTTGTTTCTACAACCATCTCGATGGCTTCATTATTAATCACTGTTCGTGGACACAAAGAAAGTGAGGGGAGCTGAGTGGGACTCGGACCTGCGACCCGCAGAACACCGTACGCACTCTACCAATCGAGCTGAGCTGGAGGTCAAATTGTCGACGACTTGGTTTCTCTTTGATATTCTGACTACCCTCTTATCAACTTAGTGATAAATTGAACTTTCTCATTGGGGGGGGGGGGGGGGGAGGGATCACGTCCACACTCTATGGTTCAAGTCTTGACGTTTCATTAACTTGATTTTTTTTATTGACAAAGAAATATCTTTGGTTTCAGCAGTCTTTAAATAGACAAAGCGGCATGGTATATAATACCTCCAATCCGATCTGCCGGAATCGAGACAAGTGCTTCTTAAAAAAATGGGTCGGCCACCGCTCTGAAGAATATGATGTATTTCATGTAAATAATTTAAGGTTTATTAAGCTCTACGAAGCCTGACCGAGCGACACTGGGCCATTAGATCTGAGGACAGATCGGTAAATCACACTGCTGGCATGGAATACGTCAAGCGCACTCGTATAATGAGGCTTATGTGCTGATCCGCCTACACCGTCAGACGACAAAAATTGCCCGCGTCACGAAATGCGCCAGCCCCGCTCTCTGCACTCAATGCTCGTGCTAGCTCCCGCCGATGATTTACACTATAAAAAAAGATGAGACAATAAATATTTAAGTAGTCGGTAAGATCACAGGCGCCGGCAAAGACAATTTGGTGGAAATGAATATCAAAGGAAGGCCGACGATGTGCGGGGAGGAGGCTGAGGTGAGTTTCTGACGCTCTGTCGAGTTCACCGTGCGGCGATCGTCTAAAACCAGGCTGGAAACACGGAGGATATGTGCTCAGACTACCGCCATCGATCTCCGTCGTACTGGCCCGGTTTTATCGGCGGGCACGGTCTACTTTGGCCTTGTCACTGTGCGGAAACCTTGTATCTTGCGTGAGGGTAACACGGCGAGAGAGAGACAACGTCAAGGGCGAAATAAATACAGGTGGACCGGGAGAAAATAAACAAGTTGCAGGACGCGTTACGGTGCAGTAAAACGGGCGCAACTGGGGCAGAATATTCTCACAAAACGGTGGCACTGTTTTGAATACTTGAAAAATACGTGACCCCTCGGTACGTCCCTTCACATGAAAAGAAAATATTGAAATTTGATATATGAGCCCTCATTGCAATTGAAATGATATCTTTCAGCACTAGTACTTCCGGAATCCCCTCCAACTCACGTAATGTCGCCCAACGGCGTAACTATAGGGTTAAACTTTATTGAGCACCTGGTGGTGCACCGATTTTCAAGGGGGCACTTAAGGCAACTGATATATTGTTTTTGGTGCAATTCAAGATTTTAAGGGGGGGGGGGGCACCGACCTCCACTAGAGAGGGGGGATGTGCCCATCCGTGCACCCTCCCCCGTAGTTACTACGCCTCTGATCTCGCCACGTTAAAAAGCAAAGACTTCGGAAAGAAAAGATCATTTGCAAAAGGTTGAAAGAATATTACAATTGCACATTTCGTACTTAGGCCCTATCTGTGGAGAAAAATACAACTGAAAAACGTGCTCCTGCCGAAAAAAATCCACTTACAGTTCTTAAAAGTATAAGCTTATTACCCAAAAGCACAAGGTACATGATGCTTACAAAACCCAAAGTTATTATTCATAAACGTAATATCAGTTGATTAGTGGGGAGTACAGTATATAAATGCTTAATTTGAATCTCTTGGCCGTCTCATCTTCAATGCAGTCGGCTTTCCCTTTGAAGATCGTCGACCGGGACTCGTAGAGTGCATGTACCCATGTCGTTATAAATATTTACGGGTGTATTACGGAGTACACAACTTGAGACGATCTCGGCAATTTATCTTAAACGCCCCTCGATGAATGTTGAGTCCCCGGACGCCGTTGATTTCAAAGGGGATGCCGACATGAGATGATCCCGGCTGGACTTAAGTACGAGAGAAGAGAGAGCGGAGTGCCGAGCTGGCCACACGCCCGTCCCGCCACCGCGCGACGCGGCGATCAGCCCGCGCCGACAGAAAGATTTACTCACGGAGTCTTTGATTCCAACTCGATGTTTATCTGCGGTATTACAATAATATTATTATGCGTCTGGGTTGGCAATGCGAGATAGAAAAAAAGTAGGTTAATAATGCCTAGACTGGCTTAGTTTGGGAAAAATCATTCACTTAGAAATATCAGTAACGTACAGATGATATCGGTGTTATTATCAAGGTGGATCTTGCCTGAATGATCGAGTTACTTACAGGCCGTATAATATTGAAAGGCTCGTTAAAAACTGGGCCATAAAAAAGGGGCGTGGCTGGGATTTGTTAGGGGGTTTGTTCACTGTGAAAATAGGTCATCTGTAACTTGAAAAAAAAGAAGAGTGATTTAGAATATTTATTTGAGTATTTGTGGAGTAATGCAATATATAAATTCTATGTGTGGTGTGCACAAAATACTTGCGTAATATCAGAACGGCCAAATTTCTGTTATAGGTTTTGTTTTACATGAAAAACGAATAAAACTGCTGAAAATTGCTTACTGACTGTATTGACCTGAAATATGCAAATCAATAAAGTTACAGGGCATGACGTTCCGACTCTGGCAGGATCTTTCTCAAAAGCCAAAATTTAAAAAAAGGCTCAAATTCATCCCAAGTACTTATTACAAATTTACTTCCCATACAATTCAATCTGCCGCAATAACCGAGATTTCGGCAATTGGAGATTTTCTTTCAGCTGAGAGGCTCACACACACACGACTGGTTTTATAAAGAGAGCTGTTTACAGACTCTGGCCTCATTGGTTTTTCAAAATCATTCCGGAGTCATCAAAGCGGCGAATTAGTCCAACGGTAAAGCATGATTGCTCTCAACGGTTCAATAATGTGGAATGGATGAGATTCACTTACAAAGCCGAACTTAATCAAAGTGGTTATTTTAATATTGTATATCGGAGCGGGCGGCGGGGGGGGGGGGGGGGGGGTTGCATCATGGTTATTGGCAACCAACCTAGCATGATATTCCCAGACGCCATTCTATTACTGGCTTTGGTTTCCTCGCAGTTATTAAAAATCTTCCTAATACTTACACCAATTTTGTAAAAAACTATCAGAGGGTGTAAATTACATTGCTTTTAAGGTGTTTACATCTGGAAATGGTGCCAAACTCTCTTAATCAATTTTTTTTAACACTTAAAAAAAAAAAAAAAAAACTAAATACAAGTAGTATACTTTGAGGATAAGATTTATTTTTTTCACTTGCAATGCCAAAAGCATTTGTTATAAACATATGCTTTTTACTTCATGTCACTTTATACGCTGTAGGTGTGGACTATTTCAAAGTGAAATAAACCTCTGTCATCACAGCTGATTGATGTTTCTGCAAGTCAGTTTCACCTAATAAGACTCCTTCACCTCACATATGCTTGCTCCTCATATTACTCTGAATGCACCCAAACCCATGGCATCTTCGTGTGAGCGTCAGGCAACACCCGCAATGTGTTCAAATACCCCCTCCCCACCCCCCCCCCCCCCCAAGTGGTCTTCGTCAATTTTTTCTTTGGAACCTTGGAAGGGGTACTTGTTGAAGGGGTCCGTAAGAGACTTTCTGGACAAAAGTGCCATTCCTTTCCAAAATACCAATGCTCGTGCTAGCCTTCCAAAGGGTTGAGATTGCCTGAAAACCACTCAGAATGAATTTCTTACTGCCCAATCTCTCCTCTTTGTGACTGCTTCTTAGGGATGTAGTTGAGTCAATCACAAGTCCCTGCAAGTCCATCACAAGTCCTCCAGTCCCAATTCAACTCACAAGCTATTTAAATGAGCTTTGACTAACGCATTCCTTTGTTATCTTTCATCCACTGTCTCTTGTGACTGGACTTGTGATTTACTTGTGACTGGACTTGTGATGGGCTTGACTACATCCCTGTTGCTTGCTAATCAAACTCTTCCATCTCCTCCTCATCTTCCTCCTGTCCCCCCTCTGGGGGTCTCAGACTATGCAGGAGGTCCCTCATTGCATCCATCAGGGTGCCTAGACTCTGACGGAGGTCGGTGTTGGGGGCTAAGTAGCCTCCTTCTGCACCGGCCGGGTCATCGCCACCGACTTGAACCGCTGGGTCGGGAGGTGCTGCTCCAGGTGGCTGGGAGGAAAGCAACAACAGAAAGAAAAACTGTCTACCATCCATTTGACTTGGGGGGAGGGGTGTTTAAATATATCAAATGGAGTTTGAGGCTTTGCAAAGGAAGAGAACTTGAAGAGGTTTGTGGATACATCATGAGAAGTGACGCACCCTAAAGAAGTGGCTTGAGACGAACATGGCTTAAACACCCTTTTTTAAGAGTTGTACAACTTCCAGACAACGTACACAATAGATCATTCTCGTTATGGCATTTCTTGTCCGCTAATGCCCAGTAAACTTGTTACTGTTTCTACAGTAGTCACTCTATGACGCCAGTCTGCAAACTTCTACACTATTCATATGAACAAACCTTTCACCTGCTTCTACAATAGGAATACAAATTGCGAAAAGGAAAAATGCTCTGTAAGGCCAAAAAAAAAAAGGCTCCGGTTTCTGGTATGGAGCTTGCCCAAAAAGTGGTGCGGCGACGCGGCTTTTTTTTTTTTTTACCTGTTTTTTTTTTGCTTCAAATGTCGGCGGATGACTGCAAAATGGTGCCCGACTAAACTTAGTACAAATATATGGGAGTCCAGAGAGGCCACATAAAGCTTATTCTTGATCATAACCCCATCTAAAAACACGTTAAAATTGTGCAGCAGCAGGATTCCAGTCAAACCAGTGAGTTTGGTGGTTTTGAGACATCATCTTTCATTGAAAAAAAAACTTTTTCATTTTGCCGACGCGCATGGCTACGGCGACGCGCACGCATACCAGAAACCGGAGACTTATTTGTTTTGGCCTAATACATTGGCGCGATCTGCACATGTACCCCTACAACGGTTACAAAGAGATTATTGGGTGGGACTTCTGAAGACACTGATGTTCATTCAAAGATGCTACAACTTTGTGCATTCAGATGACAGAATTGTGCATGCTTTTTTGCCATACCCGCTATCAAACCAGTTCACATGATATGTGTCTTGCAGAAGATGTTGATGGGGGGGGGGGGGGGGAGAGACGGTTGATAAGACTTACTGGAGGTAAATATGAAGGCATCATCGACCGGAAGAATTCCGCAAACATGCCGTTATCTGCGCGAAGGCTGCTGGCCCTTTGCTGTCTGTAAATAAAACAAATGCACAAGATGATATATTGCCTTCTGCTTCAAGTAGAGAAAGAACGCGTTGACTCAATGTATGACTTTTGAATTGCTTTCAAAATTCCTGGAGAAGAACTCTTCAAGATATGGAAAGAGGTCTGAATCAGTGACAAAATCCACCACTAGCAGCACATTTCTCGCGGAACATGTATCAAACATTCATGTGAAATGATAACAGCTGACAGCATATTTTGAAAGTATCATTTCATTTTGAACTAAATTCTATCAGCGGTCTCACAAGGCATACCCTAGGACGCACTCCCCCAAGCTGAATGGAAAAATGGAGAATTCACTCCGAGCTGCAAAATGTGCCACATGAAATAATTTTACTTTCCCCGCCCTCACGGAAACATTCCCCCACCCTAACAGAAATGTTTCCCCACCCTAACAGAAACATTCCCCACCCTCAATGTAACAAAAATGTTTTCCTACCCTAACACAAATGTTCCCCCACCCTAACAGAAACATTCCCCCACCCTAACATTAACATTCCTCCATCCTAACAGAAACATTCCCCCAGCCTAACAGAAACATTCCCCCACCCTAAATGTAACAGAAATGTTTCCCCACCCTGACACAAATGTTGCCCCACCCTCACAGAAACATTCCCCCACCCTAACAGAAACATTCCCACCCTCAATGTAATTGAAAGCCACCATTTTAAATTCCCCCACTCTGGATGAAATCCTCGATGGGATCTCTGCATACCTAGCAGGTATATGATAGGAGATGATAGAATCCTTGGGAGGCACCGGGTCGTAGGATAAGACCGGAGTATTGGCCAGCTCTGGAGGGAGGGACACGACTGCATCCTTGATATCGGACAGGATGATATGACGGAAGACGTTCCGTGGCGTACCTCGATATCTCGTCTGCCTCCTGAGGAGAAACGCAAGATGAATATGTCTTGGAGTAATGGGCATTTTGGTGTTATTGTTAATCTCCTGTTACTTGTGAATGAAGTTGTGATGGACTTGCTAATGTTGCTAGCATTAGACGTTGGGCCTTATCCCTGGCTAACATTGCATATACGGGTTCATGACTTCTGACTAGCGCCCCTTGAACAAAGACATTGACAAAACTGGGAACCGCCAACATATGGCTGGATAGCTCAGTTGGTAGAGCACCGGAACAGCAATCCGGAGGTGGCAGGTTCAAACCCCACTTCAGTCAATGTCTTTGTTCAATTTAAAAAAAGAAGCTTACTTTTAAGAAAACAATTTACTTTTTGCTAAAAACTGAGAAAAAAAAAACCAAAAAGGGGTAAGGATCTCTTAAATTCAGAACCCCCCCCCCTCCCTCGGACCCAGATATGCCTGTGAATTTATCACGGCACATACTTTGTCTGATATTCCTTGACCACTGGGTCCTGACTGTCCACCCGTTGTAGCACCACACTGACATTACTCTCCAACCATTTCATGACCTCGGGCACCTTCCACATGGCATAGTTCCGGCTGATGTAGAGCGTTATCAGCTGGGTCAGTGCTGCTGGCTGGCTGTGGGTGCAAAGAAAAGAGTTGATGGTTAGACCACGAGGCAAGTGTTGTAGTTAAGTCTATCACAGGTCCTTATAGGTTTATCACAAGTCCATCACAAGTCATCCAGTCATAAGTCCAGTCACAAGCTGTTCAAGTGAACTATGACAAAGGCATTTCTTTGTTATTGTTCATCCCATCGGACTTGTGATTGATCTGTGACCAGACTTGTGACCTGACTTGTGCTGGACTGAGCCTCAACACTGCTTTGAGACTTGATGACTTGTGACAGACTTGATGTCTTCTTAAGTTCTTGGCTACCTCTCTGCTAATGTGTAGGCAAGAGCAGGTACTAGAGCAAGCAAGCAGATAAACTGAGAGAGAAGACAAGTAACCAGACATGAAATAAATGGCATTATTGTAGGGACTTACTTGCAGTAACTCACAGGGGAGAAGAACGGATGCCTCTTGGCTGAGGCGTCCGGCTGGATGCTACACTTGTCCAAAAGGGGCATCAAGGCCTAAGAATAAAGTCACACAGGAGAAAATGTCATCTCAAATCAACTTCCTGTAGTTGATTTGTGAAGTACCCTGCTCCTTTGCAACCATAGTTAGCTGCAAACATCATAACGGTTGAATTATGCTCAAACATCGCCACAAAACCTCTCTTCCCTAGTTGGACTAGTCCAACAATCAACAAGTAGGAAGCATTTGATAACAGTTGGTTCATCTTTGGAAAACCACAGTTCTTGATCAAGCCTGCTCCTAGTTTACAGATTGCACAGTTATAACAAAATTGTATATTCTACAGGCAGCAGCAAATTTTGAGACAATCCAACCAAATGTGAGTTCTAATTGGGACACCCACGGATATCGAGGTTCATCTGAGAGTGTGTGACCTAATCCGGAATATTTGAGGTAAAGGGCTAATAAGAAGGGGTAAAATAGATGAAAAACATTACCGAGGGGTACATGAGTAGAGCTGTTTGCAGACAAGAGTCAGCTTTGGTAGTATCGCCGTCTTGACTGTTGTGGAAATGAGCCAGCGCCAGGCTGAAGGCAAAGTTGGGCAGCTGGGAAAGATTCTTGTGGGCCTGTTCAAGGAAAGACAAAGAAAGATAAGATTAATAATTTGGTATGCATGACATTTGAGGTGCTTAAATTTAAAAAGAAAAATTTGTCTATGACTACTCCACTGAATATTAATTACAAACCACGGGATACGTAGTGGTGCCTGCGTGCAAATTTTATCTTAATGCTTACACATCCCTAGAGTTGTCTTTTGTTATTGGCCTGATGAGCAGGGGTAATAATGATGCGCTGACATGAGAGTAATATATGAGTTATTTTTTTTTATTTTCACATTAAATTTCAAAAGGAACATGAGGGTTATGACAAATGAATGAGAAAACAGAACATCGTTTTATCTTTTGCCTTGAAACTTCGATTCAAAATGTCAGCATAGGAAACAAATAATTGATATTTATCTATTAAAAAACTTGGCATAATACTTGTATTTTAGGATTCAGGAGGGAGGCTTAGAAAGTTGGGAAGTTGAAGCCTCCCCCTCCCCCCCCCCCCCCCCACCACCTTCCTCCCAATTTTGCCCGACTCGTTTCCCTTAGCCTTCTCCTCAAGTCTGCAAACATCATGGTTAGAGAATACGAACTGCTTGAAATGGTTCAGAATCATGACTAATGTCTTGATTTGCAACGTTAAAAATCAGCCCCCCCCCCTTCCCTGATTTCTGGATCCACCCATGACTTGGTATGGAGCTCTGCTAACTATTTGTTGGCTGGAGGTGCTTACCTCCCATTCATCATGCATCCTGATCAGTACTTGATACTGCTCAGACCTGAGTGCATAGTGGTCAATCATCAACAAGATGCCCAGCGGATCAGTGTCTGGGTCAAGACTGAAATGAGAGTTCACAAACAGAAATGATACTACAATACCTCGGTCAATTTATATCATAGTGGTTTTACATATAATGTGATTTGTGTGACATTAAGTCGTTTTTAAATGGAAATTAAGGATTACCATGTTCAGGAGAGTAAAAAAAAAACTGGTTTTTTTTTTATTCTGGAATTTACCTCAAGAGTAGTTTACAGATTTCGAGAGCGGTACGATTTGCGCCCCGCTGACCCACGAACACCGCGTGTCTGAACAGGGCCAAGAAGAATGCTCTGTTCTCTACCCTTCGGTAGTCCAGTCGACACGTCCCCTGTGTCAAGCTGAACATTGTGTGGAAGCTACACTCAATGTTGTACAGCGCCCTCTCTAGTCAGTCAAAAGAAAAGAAAAGAAAAATGAATCAATTCAATAATTTTATTGCTTGTTACAATGTCCTGCACTTTATAATCTGAAATTGATAAGGCCAATTTTGATTTGTGTTAAGCTGACTTTGCATTATTAAAAATCATTTTATGTAAAAACTTAACCTGAAAAGGACACATTTGAAAACATCAAATTATACGTCGGTTTAACAAAAGAGACCCAAATAAACATAAATGGTACACCATCATGAACTGGCTCTACCACGTAACACACAGGACTAATTTGACATTAGTCAACTAGGCTAGAGATCTGACATCTCAAATAGGATAGCAATTCCCGCAAAGATTCTAAAATTGTATTGGTTCCTCGTCTGTAGTCGTCTAGTTCTCAAGAACGAATGCACACGAATTGTGCCTAGCTAGCTGTGTTCATGTGACTATTGCAATGAAACTGACCTTGTGTCAGAGGTCACAAGGACAACACCATGCTAGTCGATCTCTGACTCTATATATGAGTGAGTTATTGATGTAGTGTTCTAGTATGACTCACCAACAAGCTCAGCGGCCATCTGTCTGTCTTCGCTCATCTTACAGACTTCACTGAGTTGTAGAAGGGTGTCGATGTGGTAAGGGTGCATCTGAAGCAGAACCTAGGTTAAGACACGACAAACATTTCAACTTACTCACATGAATTACACCATATTGAAACATTTGGGGACCGATGGACAAAATTGGTTCTTAGCACTTTGATAACATTGTATTACATTGTATTTAAATCCCTGATGAATGTATAAAACCATACAGTGTTGGCCTGAGCAGTTTGAAAGTGACAGGCAGGGCAGTTTGAGCAGGACAGGAACTAATGGGTTATGACGCGGTTGACCCCCATTAAAGCTTAGTGGTAGACTGAGACATCTGCACTAGTAAGCAGGAGGTCGTGGGTTCGAGTCCAGCTGGAGTAAGCTCTTGTACAGCAACAATATGTCGATGAAGGGTCAAAACAAAATACTGTTATTAGCACAAAACAATCTAATTTTGAAAAGTCAAGTTTTAATATTGGGCAGGGTGTTGCTGGGGGGGGGGACGAGGGGTAGAAAATGGGACAGAATGGGTTGTTACCGTTAGATTCTGTGGGTTGAGTGATTCTACGGCGTCCAGAAATTGAAACTGAACCTGCTGGTAGTCCTTTGAGTGCTCAAGAGTGAAGTACTGATACCTGGTGAATAATCAACAAGCAATGAGTGATATGGTTGTGCATACTGCCACCCCAATTGTCATCATTGTCAGCAAAATAATGGTTTATATCTTACAATGTTTGACAAAGGGCCACCTCAAAGAACACGAGCTTGACTTGAATGGTATCCACTCCAATTATCTCGTAATTAACTGAGCTGGATGCTGCACACTATGACCTATTTGCTTTGACGTAACAAGTGAATAGGTCATTTAAATTGCCTCAAAACACTACAGAATCTACAAGCGGGAGTATATTCCCATGATCAACAACACATTCAAATAATCGTCCATTGGTTTATAGGTCAGTGAGCCCCATCCGCACTTATCCACATGTGAAAGCCCCCCCCCCCCCACCCATTCCCTTCCTCCCAAAATCTCCAGCAGTCAGCAACTCGAAAGAATGTCTGACTACTTGACTACCTGTCTTGGTCTTTCTACAACAATTTTGTGGTCACCTCCCATATTTAAATTGCTTGGGCACATCCTGTGCATACTGTTAGCTTCATATGGATTGTATTTTGTAATTAAGAAAGCTTTTTAGTTTACTACAATTAGAGTTGTAGCTTACCCGCCTTTTATTTCAAGCTGTCTCATGGATAAACCTGTTGGAGAAGAAAAGAACAGAAAAGAAGAACAAAATCCTGTCATTCAATGAACTGACTGGAAGACTCCGTTGATTTTCAGACAACATACTGCTTTAGATTTAAACTGGAAAAAAAAATTCAGAGGTAAAGGCACTTGATACAGATATAATTGCCAAGTTTCATATTCATGGAATAGGAACATGGTTCATGTCAAGACTGCATTAAGGTGAACCGTTACTCACCTGATTTTCCGATGTTGGGCCATTCAGCTTTTGGGTTGACCAGCCAAGTTGATCGCTGATATGCTTTACGTCGTCCTCTTTTCCTGAGCAGGGATATAAGACAGCCTGAATTTATTCAATAATAAATTACTATTTTTAATCATTAGTCATGACATTTCAAACAGAGTTTTGGGGTATAAATCTTCCTGTAGATCTCCCGTTTATTTTTGAAGATGTAAACAACGGTTTCCTTTTCCCCTATATTCCCACATGTTCAAATTGCTGCATGAAAGTTCTGAAATTGTAAAAACAATTTCCTGTTCTAGATTTAAAAACTTTTTCCAAGAAAAAATATAACAGATAGTTTTCTTAATGAATTAAAAAAAAAATCCATAATTTTCTAAATATCAGATTCACAAAATTCAATTTACAAAAATAACTGTGATACCTATAAAAATACTTGATAAATGCTCAACCATTGGGTAATTGCCAAACTTTGGGAGACAAGCACGTGGGTGCAGTGGTTCTATCCACGCCTTGCACCTCTGTGGCAGACATGCGGGTTGGGTTGGCAGTCCCCTACCTGACACTGGGGTTCCCCCCAATATTTCCTCTCTGGGGTTTTCCTCCCACCTCTAAAACTGAACATTTCTTCATTATCTTCTCTTTATGGTTTTCAAGTCTTGTGAGCTATAGTGACATGGGAGCTTTTGAGGAATCCACGGTTTCAGTACCAGAAATGAACTCATACTACTAATGAGTATACACAGTAATGTTGTCTTACCTCTGCTCAGTTTGCCTGACGACATTCGAGCCAAAGATTCTCCGCATCTCGTTATCTGCATTGAGATTCTTGTGTTCCACTGCCAGCACCGCCTTGGTTTCCATGGGAACAGCGGTGGCACCGTGGGTAATCTGCCCTGCCCTTCCATTGGGCAAAGCTCCAAGCATAGCATTGACTTCCCTGACGCTGGCATCAATTTCATCTTCCTGTCATGTGACATAGGTTAAAGGTGAATTGGCTATTGTATCTGAGGCTATTTTTGAAACTTGGGCTTTGTCCCGACTTCAGTTTCTGGCTTTAGAGTTGTGAATAAAGGCCCCTAACCTTGAATAGATTTCAACTTAGTCCACATCTGATTTCTGTTACAGGAACATCAAAAACAACATTTCTGGGAAAGACAAAGCCGAAACTGAGGACAGAACCTTGGTTTGAAAAATGGTCAATGTCTGAGAGGTTAAATTTTTAAAACTTTTTCAACTGCCCAAAAAATAGGAATTGTAAGAGTTCATAAAAGAAAAACAGAAAGATCTTTGGCAATAAGCATAAACACCACCTGCCTAAGTCTCATTTCTTAAGAATATTACTTGGCAGTATATACTGATGCAACTGATGATTTCTTTTAGAAGTTTTCAGAATGTTTCGGGACTGGTCAATCTTTATTGTAACAAATGAGGTATCCTTTTTCAACAATAATTTTTCACAACGTGAGATAGCAGATACTTTCAAGTCATCTATATTTAAACATTGGCAGCTGGCCAGACTCAATAGCATAAGTATTTTGAATTTTTTAAAAATTAGCTATTCATATACTGTTAGTGCATGAGAAAGTTTTATCCATAATTCGATAATTTTTGGGGGAGTACAGTTTTTCCAAGCCTGAATATTTACATTTTCAGGCACATCTTCAGCTTTTGTCTCGCTGTCAGCCTGCTTCCTTTTCTTCTTCTTTTTCTTCTTCCTCTTGGCCCCTGTGGCTGTTTCACGACTCGTTTGTTTGGATGACGTCTGGACTCCTTGTTGAGGGAATGATGTACTTCTATCATTTCCATCACTTTCAACATCGTTGCCATCTTCCTGCAACTGTAATAAATAATTATGAAAAATCTGTTATAAAAATACATATTTTTTTCTGAAGATTTTTACTGAAGTGAGGGTTTGCACTTTATTGCAGGACAAATGTACTTATTTCCTAAGAATTGAATAAGTGGAAAATAACTTAACTGAAAAAAAGCTCTGATGACACTAAACTCTTAAGGAAACTATTAAGCAGGAAGTTGAAAGAAATTCCAAATTTTGGGTAAAAAAAATATGTGGTGCCATGATGAAAATGCCACTTTGTCATTCTGTACAAAGTCCATGGGAGGTGTAAAAATTGTCTTTGAATTATCTTTCAACATATTTGTATCACATATTTGTGAAACAGTGATGTTATGATAACCTATTCTTCCCAAAGTTCATTTAAGAAACTTTTTATTCAGTCTACTCACTCTGTACCCCACTAAATAATGCAAAGAAACCTTAATTTCCTGACAACATACCAAACATGCCAAACTAGATTTAGAGGTTTTTTTTTATTTATTTATTTTAATATATATGCTTACAATATATATCCATATGTTGTTAAAATAAAACATCTCCAAATTCCAATATTATAGATAAAATTTAACTGCGGATCTGACCAACTCAAACGGGTTGAACGGTGCGGCAGCTGGTCTTTCCATTTCATCTTCATCGTCATCCTTATCAACATCCTCATCTTCAGCCGCATCATGATCATCTTCGAGAACACGGCTCCGAAGTTCATCCAAACTCCGGTCCCCATGAAGTTTTCTCATTGCTCTGGAAGACATCCTGTTCTATTGCGTCGCGTACTTTATTTAAAAAGGCACTTCTGTGGTACTTCTAGTAGTGAAATAAAATGACAAAGTTATATCTGAAAAATCGTGTGTGTACGTGTAAACACGGTAAGATTAAAATAGCACATACCTTGCATACGTCCTATCCCAGACTGGCCCCGCAGCCAAGTTGATTGAGTGTCATCTGTCTGAATGCGTTATATGGAAAAAGACGTCTGGGTTATTCTTAGTCTAGTTCCCAAACGAACTTTGTTCGATTTTCATGGGTTTGTAGAACGGTAACCATACTTAAAGAGCAATCCAAACAACAACATTTCAGTCATCAGTTCGCAAACGCACCTTAGCTTGGACTTGGAGGAAAGACGGTTCGGCAACTGAGTTATACTTCCTGTCTATGCAGGAATCATTCTATTTTCTCCCCGCAGTACGTGTTTGTCATATCATTCAGACATTCATTATATTCGACCAAATAGCATGAATTTTTGAGCTGTTCTTGACAGCACTTGCTTACCCATGATTTTACGTTTTGTTGTTTACTTTGTATAAATTATGAATATGATTATGGGTGTTTTTTTTTTTGCAGAAGTGCATTATTATTTGTACCTTAGCAGCTGATATTCACTGATAGTGTTCTAAACCTAATCCCCTACCACTACCATAATTTCCCCTCCCACCCACTTTCCCAATTCAGGGTTGGGTGTACTTCTAGAATTAGAAGGCACCTCTCGTGAAAGGAGCCTTTCTCAAAGTAGGTTTTGTGTTGAAGGCTAAAAGTTAAAATAAAAAAATGCTATCAGTGTCGCCTTTTTTCTTGCAGGGTCAGTACAATCTCAATGTCAGCAAATAACAAGAAAATGTTTCGGAGAGAACGGAGAGGCTTTAAGAGCAAAGTGTTACTGACAATGAGGCGACGGAAATTCCTCGGCCAAAGAGATCAGAAGCAAGACGACATTTTCCCCTTTGGAGAGCTCCCAAATGAATGCAAAGTGAAAATCCTCGCCTATCTGACGGACAAGGAAAAATGTACTGCCGCCCTAGTTTGTACATCATGGACAGACTTGATACGGACTCCGTGCCTTTGGACCAAGGCAGATTTTGTAGAACTGCTCTACCATCAGAAGAGCAGGCACATTCCAATTCCATCGCCAGCCCTGGAGTGCCAAGTCCTGAAGGAGAAGGTCAAGAACTTTGTGTTCCATCTGGTGTCCCGACAAGCCCTACTTCGTGAGCTCCTCTTTGAATTTGACCTGCATGAGGGTGATGAGATATGGTTGAAACTTCTGGTATACTTACTGCAGATGACACATGCCCAGGAACTGCACACAATTCAGTGCAACTGGACTTACACCCCTCACATCCCCTGGTTCCTCAGCGGAGCCGCAGTGGATGCCAAGGAATCCCGAGTTACATCTTTCCACAAGCTCCTCATGATCTTACAAGAAAGCAGCCCAGGAATCCAGGGCTTCACAATGCCCTTTGATTGGTCACCATGCTCCATCAGCCTACTCTGCCGATTCAAAAGCATCACAACCCTGGAGTTGTCCAAGTACTGGGTCTTCCACGGCCTTCCCCAAAGGCTGTTGAACAGGCTTCTCCAAGAGCTCCCAAAGCTGAGGAGGTTCAAGTTGGAGGTTGCTGTACCCTTCAGGGACAGTGAGCTGTACCCTCAGTACACCATGTCATCAGAAACCCTGGAAGAACTGGACATCGCAGCCTGCTCAGGCTTCTTCCTCTGGAGTGTTACCTTACCGAACCTCAAACGCTTCTGTGATGCTAGGACAGCCTGGACTGGGCCCATCCTTCCAAGGAAGGCTCTGAAAATCCAATGTCTGTATAACGTCGTGAGGAATGGTGCTCCTAAACTCAACATCTTCAACACTAGTCCTCTTAGAGAAGGTTGGAGGGAGAGTTGCCCCAGTGAACTGGAGGATGTTCTTCGTGCAACTTGCTACTGTGAACGCCATAAAAGCAGCCCTCTCATATTCTAGTTTTAAAATGGCATCACTCTGAGAGAAATAAGGAAATTGTGTCCATGCAGACAACAGTGAGATATTCACACTGCCACCGACAAATTTTCTCACTTTAAAGTTGACATCCTGCATTAGTTTTGGCCTACAGTTTATCAAACAGGTGTCATTGTTAATATATGCACAACCACAATCACGTTATTGCATTTCGGAATTGTCATGAGTAACAACTATTGTTCCTGTTATGCGCAGGGGAAAACTGAACAAACTAATCATGTGCATCCAAAAGGGTAAAACTTTCTAAGTCCTTATCACTCAATGTAATTGACAATGTCTACAGGGTTGTTTTCTGTATTGAGAAACACTTAAAATGATGATCGTGTGTCACTCAGTGGGCATATTTTTTAATGGCTTTCCAGGGTCAGTAAGCTCTATTGGCATATAAGGTTTAAAAGTGATAAAATATAAAAGTGGATGTAATACACAGAGGGACATTTTTTTATTTAATGCATTTTTTTTAACTTGGAAGTTGATGTGAGATTGCTGCCACTCTTTCCCCAACTACTTGATATTTTAATTTACATAACATGGGATGGGGAACATTTTATACAGGTTACAGAAGGGCATTTCAATCTATTGGATGTATTTTGAACATGTAGTTGATGTCAGGCTGAGACTCCCACCAACCTGTGCATATATTTTGTACTTAATATAATATATCTGTGGTCTGTTAAATATTATTAGACATGTTATATACCTCTTTACAAATCCCCATGCATATTATTTGAACAGACAGAAGTACTGAGTAGGTTTTAATGTAGATCAAGAATTTTAAGTAGGTGTATATAACGCTGCAAGCAACTTATCGATATACTCTCAGATGTTCATATTCCTGCTGTAAGTCAAAAGAACTTCTGTACTTCTCCTGTGTGTAAATGTTAAACCCTGTATATGTTAAACTGTGCTGTAAATAAAATTTTAAAACCTACTTCTTTGTTTGGCTGTTTTGTTATTGTATTGTTATTCGAAGACACTTGTTGGCACACTGAGTTACAAGTCAGAGAAAATGTAATCTTTGTTGGTGTTTATGAAATATGTCCCAAATATTGCACAACTTCCAAACATTTCAGCTTTATTCAACTACATGTACTAAGGTCAAATAAAAAAAAAAAAGTTTTGTTTATTGTCCCCGCCCGCATCCTTTTACCTGCCGCCATCAATTTATTGTATTTTCTATTTTTTTTCTTTCTTCTTTTCGCTTTGATCAATGGCAAAATCTGGCCTATTTACTTATATTTTCACAATCACACAAACATCTTGCATCGTAATATTTGTTTCCAACATGAATGAGTAGCCATTTGAGGTTATAAAGCAAGTCTTAGAAAAGTGATGGTAATTTTTAGAAAAGTAAGCATCCATCGTCTTGGAAAAGTCTCATAAAAGTGGTGGATGTTTTAAAAACAGACCATCAGTCATGTATCTGTCATTGGCCAAAAGAAAAAAGTGCCCACATCATCCTAGTATTTATTTGGCCAAATCTTCCCTAAACCCCCCCCCCCCCCCCACCCCACCCCACCCCAATTTGATAATGCCAAATAAACATGAGGAAATTATTGTGTATTCAGACTGATCAAACATTAAATGATAACGGTTTGGGTTTTTTTAACATCAAGGTACCTATCGCGACACCCCCCCCCCCCCGCCGCTTACCCCAGCAGCCCCGCCCATCCACTGTCACCCAAAACACAATGTGATTCAAAATTCATCACTCTCGTCCCCAGATATACTACCGTTTATGCTTTTCTTGCAAAACGAGACATACACCCCTGGGAACAAATTCGCGGAAAAAGCTGGTATCCGGCACCCTTTGGTTTTATAACACCGACATATAGCTGATGGGCACCAGTGATATAATCTAACAAAATGGCGTCCAATCGTCGCCGTTTCTTGGAAATTGTCCGTTGATTTTTCATCAATCGATCTACTTTGCACTGAAAGTGGTTGATTTTTGAGGTAAAAAATATTATCAACATTCGTTATAGATCAGTATTGTATGTGATTTGTTCAATAAATTGGTGCTTTGAAAGAGAATTATGTGTTTTAAATTGTTTGATTTTGTTGTTTTCAATATCGTAACTGGTTAATGGGATTCTTCGGTAATCGGGCCACTAGCATTGAGGCCCCCTACCGCTACAATCGCCTGTGAATTTAAGGGCCTTCTGTCGTTTTACTCCATAGGAGGGTGTATTTATCGCTTCAAAATGACTTCTGCAACATCGGACAGTCTTTCTTTTAAGTTTAAAAACCCTATTTTTGTAATTTTGAACATCAGATTCAGAGTCGGACATGTTTTGTCATAGACCCGTGAACGTGGCTATATACATAGCCACGCTTCAGTCTATAGTAAAAAGACTCTATTGCGATCCGCGGTTACAAAGATGGAGTGACCGTTCTAGCCGAATTTCGGCTACATTTGACAGAATATTTGCATACAAAAATGAGTTGTACAGAAAATCAGCAGAATTTTTTTTCGGCAGAATTATGAAGATGAAGGAAAAATGAAAAAGATTAGAGAAATATGGCACATTTGGTTTGAAAAACCTTCATTTATTGAAAGATCCCTGAAACAAACCCTTGCACAATGGACCAGCAATTATACTGGGTAATATGACAGACTTTCGAAGTGGATTTAGCAGAAATATATATGGTATTACGGTCAGCCTGCCATGTAAGACGGTTAGTCTGGTACCCACTCGTGATACTCCAACCGTTTTACGCATGCGGAACTCGGGGTACCAGAGTGTCATGCCTGTCTTAGATTTCTGATCATTTTGAAACATTCGTTGTGACAAAGTTGTGCCGTATTTTACATCAAATTTCTTGGCAATGACAGATCCAACACTCGCGTATATTCACAGGAAGCCCAACAAGTAAGTGATTCACCCATGGGCGAAATTATACATGGTCATATGTAGCGGATCAAAAGATAGAATGCTTTCGCTTGTATTTACCCGAGGGAAGCGCGTGGCGTTGTATACAACGCCACGTTCACGGGTCTAGTTTTGTCAGAGTCACGTCAGACAGTCAGAAGCCAGACTGAGATTGAGAAGACAGAACATGTCATTCAATTTGTTTTGGTCATTTTGTTGACTGGCAGACGTGCAGACTGGTTCTGGTTGAACTACATTTTCCTTCCCATTCCTTTCCATTTGCCACAGATTCATTGACTCCAACATGTCCAACATTTAATTGCAGAGTATACATTTTTGTTTACGTCGTGGGCGTGGCTATTGTTACGGCAGCTGTCATGGCATAACACAACTTTCAACTGCTATCATTTACAGAGCTGTGTGGTTCCCTGAAAATTGCGTTAGGGCTGCCGTAAACGACAAATGAACGATAGCCACTTTACAAAATAAGATAGATGATCACTGCAAAAGAGCATGCACCATGAATGTATACACAAAACCGCATTGCCCTTGATTCGCATGGCATTAACTGGAAAATGCATTAATAGTTAAAATTACCAAAATATAGGGTCATTAGATTTAAAGAAGACTCAGTATGTTTGCAGAAGTCATTTGCAATAACACCAATGATATGATTGGGTTTTATAAGAAATTGGCTTTAACTCTTCTACTTTGACTATTTTTTATTACAGTGCTTGGACATGTGTACTCAAAAATATCAACAAACACTATAAAGTGTAAAATTCTGGTTGCGGCATTGCTTTCCTTTTGCAGTCATGGAAAGTAACCAGCACCAGACGCCGCCCAATAGCAAGAAGGGCACGGCCCCGCTGCACGCCTCGGCAGCCTCGCCTCAGGCTGGCCAGGCGGTGCCCAACCCCATCCTGCAACAGCCTAAGACCCCTATCCCGCAGAGTCCAGCTCCTGCCAACCATTCTCACCGGCACGGCTCCGCCATGTCAACTCCCTCGCCTCAGATGCCACAGAGCCCCGATCCCGTCCATGATCTACCAGCTGAGCTCCTGGAGGCCGGCTGGCGGCAGTTTTGGAGCAAGCGGGAGGGACGGAACTACTACTTCAACAAGTTCACGCAGAATTCGTTGTGGGAGATGCCTACGATAGACAGAGGAGCATCAAGGGTGAGCAAAATTAAATGCTCAGTTGTAGTGAAACAGTCAAATCTGGGACAACCCTTGGAAGGTTTTATCTTTATCCATTGGGGTCCTGTCATAGCAGATGAAGAAGGAAATTACAGCAGAAATGGGAGAAATACCTTTGAATGACGATCCACAAATTTAAGTAGGTAGTGGTCAGCATTAATTTTCTTGAATTTTCTTTGACTTTCTACAGCATGATCCGCTGGGTATCCAGACAGACCACCGACCAGCCCACCCACACCCACAACCACATCCCAACTTACCCTCCCCATTGGGAATGATGCCAAGGAGACACTCGCTAGAAGAATCTCCCGTCAGCCCAACCATCAAAATGGCTGACCTTAAAGGGTAAGTGACAACCAACAGACACAACTAATGCCATTTAATCAAATTCCCTGAGCATTTTTTTGTGAAGAAGTTTCAGAAATCTAAAATCAATACTGAGCAATACGACTTATAACACACTCTTCATACCTAAAGTTAGGGCATCAAGCCCCATGTGTAATGTAATACGCTTTCCTGTTCTGAATCCATCAAAATAATGTAGTGGACCCTTTCTGTCTGTCAATCAAACTGCACGTTGACCAATTAGATCCCAGCTTTTGGTCAGGTGATCATAGTAACTCAGTCACATGTACTGTTAAATAGTCCTTTTGTACTCAAACCAAAGGTGGGCGGGGCTTATGAATAAATCTTGCATGCCAGGTGTCATATTTTGGCCAAGTTAGGATACTGGAAATTAATTTGAACATTAAACTCAAAAATATTTGTAACTGGGTCTTAGTGCGAAACGTGAACTAAAACTCCTAGATTTTTAATATCAGAAGTTTAAGTTTTTGTCTCTTTTTTTTCTCTGCAGTCCATTCTGGGATTTTACAGTGAACACCAATGCCATGATGTTTGAGAGATACCCAAGCAGGCTACCACCGCCCCACAATGACATCGAGCAGATGAGGGGGAACCTGGTCCAGAAACTGCGCTTCCAATACAATGAACTCTGCCAGCAACGAGAAGGTAAACTAATGTCTCATAAACTCAGAAAGTACTCGGAACATTTCACATTGAATACCACTGGTTCAAAGCTTCAATGGGTGAAATTATTTATATGAAACATTTACTAATCATTTACCACATTTGTCTGAACAAAGATTGTCCTATAAGTGCACTCTAAGTGCCTTTGTCGGCTCACAGTTTATTGAACTTGACCATTTGTGTCCTCTGCAGTGTTTCTTATAGTCGGTTTAATTTTAGGGTCAGTGGTTCTGAGTTTGATCTCAAAACTACTGTTTCTGTCTCTCACTGGATATCTAAGACACTCCAACGTTTCTTATTTTCCATACCAGGAGTCAGTGCTCCGAGGGAGTCCTTCAACCGCTGGCTTCTGGAGAGAAAAGTCATTGACAAGGGAACGGATCCCATGTTGCCCAGCAAGTGCTCCCCAGAGGTCTCCCCCTCCATGAAGCGAGAGATTATGAGTGATATTCCCATCAGGTACAGCACACATCTGGGATTACTGTGATTTTATTACAAAATGTTTTCATAAATTGGTGGTTTTTATAAATAGAAAGCTGTTTCTTCTCTGAGTGCTTCCCGTTTGCTATTTCCCAGGTTTGCATCATTGCAAATGTTGCTAGCATCGTATATATATATATGGCTTCTGACTAGCGCCCCTTGAACAAAGACATGGACTAAATTGGGAACCGCCAACATAGGGCGGGATAGCTCAGTTGGTAGAGCACTGGAACGGCAATCCAGAGGTAGCAGGTTCAAACCCTACTCAAGTCAATTTCTTTGTTCAACGTTAAAATAAAAAAATCACTCAGTTGGCATTAACCCAAATTAATAGCCATGCAGAAAATTCCAGAAACTTGCTTATTCCAAAGGTAATAAAGGGGTGAAGATTGGGGTCATTTGCAACTAAGTGCCTTTAAGGACAAACACACCCATGTCTGTGATCCACTCCACATTCTGCTGATGTTGCAAGCTTCTTAAGACAATGAAACCATCCCCTTATGCCAACAGGTTACACAGACCCAAGGTGTTTTCGGAAGCCAAGAAGTTGCTTTACAACTATGCAGAGGCTGCCAAGAAGTTGATAGAGTCCAGGTAAGCCAAGAGAATATACAAACCTGGAGCTAAGTTTTTCATAATGTGGTCATCAAGTGGTTAAGTATATCTAAAGATGGTTAATATGGCTTGTCTGGCCAGTGCTTATCTCTGCTTGGCTTGGCCTTGAAACAAGTTAGAATATTTTAAATCCCCACGGATGGGTTGTATCTCCATCACAGATTATTCCCACGATTATGCCGGTGCCTTTTTATATCTCAGGGTGGGGAGAGGCTAGCAAAGTGAAGTAGTATGCCCAAGGACACAACATATCCCAGGCTGCTGGATTTGAACCCCTGACCCTCTGATCACGATTTTTGTTTCAAAATCTAGACCACCTTTTAAATGTAGCAATGCATGGACTAACCAGTGGCAATGGCAGCCTTGCCACTCGAGTGTCCTTCAATACTGGCTCTTTTCACCGTTGAGGAGGTACTTGCACACTGTTTCGATTAGAATACAACCCATGTCTTACTGTTCCAAGTGCTTCAGTTTGAGACAGTGATCATTTTGTGTTCTCTATTAAAGGAAAGCCACACCGGAGAGTCGTAAGATCATCAAATGGAACGTAGACGAGATGTTCCGATGGCTGAGGACAGGACAAAGCTGTACCATCGATGAATTCATGGTAAGCTCAAAGATGCCGTCCCCATGTCTCCTAACATTTTCAGTTTGTATGTTGTATTTAACCTCCCCAAAATCCCAACTTCTCCTTTTTTTTTAATGTCTGCTTCCCTCTTTAAAAGCTTTTATGTGGGTTGCTTTGCCCTCTTAAGCACAAAAAAATCCTCCTGAATTTTTGTCGCAAGCATTGACAACTTGAGTGAATTCTGACCCAATAGCTTGACAGACTCCAAAGTAAGTCCCAAAAAGGCTTTGTTTTGCAAGTATAGCTATTTGTGCGGATGTTGTTATGCCATTCAAAGGGCAAATAGTGGAATATCTTAATTCTGATAACTATTCCTAACTATGGGAATATTTTTGGGGGTTCTCGCTGACAGAAACGTCTTGCCCACCTGAAGGAGCAATGCGGACCGCATCTGAGCGCAGCAGTCCAGTCCTCAGTGGAAGGCATCTGTACCAAGATGTACCATATGTCTTGTGAGATTGTCAAGAAGCTACGAGACAGACACTGGGAAGTGCTCAAGGAACACCAGATTGAAGGTCAGATGAGACCTAAGACGTATCCATATCTCGTTTCTAGAGTTGTCGTGTAGGTTTTCAACAATGACAACTACATGTGAATATGCTGACAATGTACATAGCCGTAGTTTTGGATGCCCATTCTAGACACAGCTTAATGGCTAACACAAGAATTAATTACAAGTAAAAATCACACCAGGCATGCAGTTTTTTCTCGTATAAAATCTTGTAAAGCTTGGAATTTCCTACTTTTTGTTAAACCTTGAGTTACCACCTGTTAAATTTCTCCCCTTACAGAGCCGGCTCCTTTCACGAGGCCACCTCAAGACAAGAAGATGCCGTGTTACTCCGTCTACGCCATCGTGCCAAGCCCCAGGCTACCCACGGTGGACATCCATGAGGAAGGAGCAACGACGTGCATTCGCTATAATGGAGAAATGATGAAGATCAATACAGCCCATCTCAAAAAACTGGTAATAAATAAAATAACCCATTGATGGATGCATGTTGTCTCATCTCATAAAGCCGTTGCAGAAATTATTCCAAAGATTTGAATTCAGTTTGATGTTTGAGATAGTCAGGAGTGTCTACACGTGCAAGATGTCAAAGATTGACTGTGAACAGTGTAAAGGGATGGATGAAGTGCAAATGTGTTCTCAATATTGCTGTTTCTCCTTATCCTATTCAGGAATTACTGTACAGACTGCACATTAATGACGACAGACTCCGATATAACTTCTTGCCAAGGGTTTGGTGCCTGCTCCGTAGATATCAGGTAGACCATAAACCCTTTCCATGTTTGATGTTTTTTTTTAAATTTGATTTAATAATAATGAATGCACAAGATGTCTACCATCCTAGTGGAACAGAAGCACACACATCAACCACGGCTGCATTTCAAAGGATTTATTGCAAAGATAACTTCACGTTTCTCCAGAAAGTTGTACCTACAGAAAGTAATCATCAACAACTTTTTTTTTTCACAGTTGTTAAAAATATCTTGTGGACTTTGGGTGTGTTTTTTTTTCTCGAAATTTTAAACGCGGTTTAAATCAAAGATCATGAGGAAAATATCCCACCTTTGAACCGTTACCAGAATCCATAAAATTATATATAATTGAATCTAATTTCCTTGACCTTTTGACCCCCACTTGACCCTTTGACCCCAGACCTTATTTGGAGTCGGCCAGTACGAAGGTCACGGCCTCCAGGGGGCGCTGCCCGTCAACGTCTTCAAGTCACTGCACGACAACTTTGGCGTAACCTTTGAGTGTTTTGCCTCGCCGCTCAACTGCTACTTTAAGCAGTTCTGCTCAGCGTTTGCAGACACGGACTGCTACTTTGGCTCAAGAGGGTAGGTACCCAGACTCATTTGAAGTCGTTATCTGTTGTGTCGCAACCACCGATTTGCTTTTGAAGCCAAAGGGAACCAGGCTTATTTCTGTAGCCGCATTGTTGATTTGTGAGGAAATCTAATGTGCTGGCTGTTTCGCAGTTAGTTGTAGGTTTCTATTATGTGTCAAATATTGTTCTGCATGTACATGTAAACATGGTGTGCATATTTGGAATTTTGGTTTTACATTTTTTAAGCATTTTTAGGAATCACAAAATCTGGGGTGTTAAAGCCACAAGAAAGAAGATACCCCAGAAGTAAAGTCAACCATTTTATGTACACAGCATCACTCATTGCTGCCAGTGTTGTAGTCGAGTCTATCACAAATCCATTCATAAGTCCGCTCACAATGATCAGGGGCTGAAAAGTAACAAAGGAATGCCTTTGTCAGAGTTCATTTGAATATTTTGTAACTTGATTGGAGACTGGTGGCTTGTGATTGACTTGTGGGGACTTTGGAAGCATCTGTGATGGATTTAACAACATTGATGGCTAAACGTTTTTACAAACAACAGTTTTAAAAAAAGATGTAATTAATTATCCAGATTACTGTTTACTATGAAGAAAGTGTTATAAGTCTGCCAGCAGTGGTGGATTGAGCTGGAACATTATTTTCAATTCTTTTTCCCCGTTTCTACTTTTTCCTGTTGTAGTCCTGTGCTTGACTTCCACCCAGTCAGTGGGTCCTTTGAGGCCAATCCCCCCTTCGGTGAGGAACTCATGGAAGCCATGGTTGCCCACTTTGAGGTATATTTCCTTTTTCCAGTAACTCATTTTTTTTGCGATTAATATTTCAAACTCCTCCAGAATCTTCCACAGTACCCAAACCTTTTGGAAATTCTTTGCACGTGTACTTAAAATGTCAAGGGCATAAATTCTCCTTAAAAGTAATAATGACTGGACCGTAACTTCCTCAATCTTGCAAAAATCCTCTGAAACCCCGGTTGGTTTTTAAGACTCCGAGGATTAAGTTGTATAAAGATGAGGTTCTTCTGTACTATGTAGCGCTATAGCAGTTTCTCAAAGTGTGTGAACATAATTACCCATGTTCATCAGCCCGAGACCATTTTTCTACAGCAGCTCGAGACCATACCCTCATCACAGGTACCCATTCATACTCCTGGGTGGAGAGGGGGAATTGTGGTAAAGTGTCTTGCCCAAGAACACAAACACCCATGTTCCCTGTCACCGTGTAAACCCAAGTACCATTGCACATGGGTCATTTTATGTATATGGGGTCCCTTTTACATCTGACATCTATGATTTTATAATTCTGATGCACTCCTTAATGCAGTCATCCTCCAAGAGTGATTATGAATAGCAAACTACCTACCCAACAAATAAAAATCATTTGAAGTCATTCTGAATGATACTTGAATGGTAAATTGCAAAGTAACAAAGTAACAGGGACAGGGAAAATGTCACATTTTTGAACCCTAAATTTTTGAATGACCCACATATCAATATAACCATTTGACGGCACCCTAGACAGTAGATGCCGACAGTTATGCGAGATGAGTTAAAGTAGAAAGTTACTTGAGATGTAAGTAACTCTGATTTGTTGAATTTGTACACAGCGTCTCTTGGCCAACACGACAGATCCTCTGTCTTTCATCGTCTTCATTCCGGAATGGAGAAACCCGCCCACTGCGGCACTGGTCAACATGGAGCAGAGCAGGTCAGACTATATGCATTTATTCATAGTACATGCCTAGTAGAGCTTGACCCAAATGGCAAAGTATAGGACATTATTTGTACTCGGGGAGTCAGTCAGTCAGTCAGTGGTTCAGTCAATCAGAGGACAATGGGCTCTGGCACAGTACCCCATCAACGGCCAGACAAGGAGAGTTGGGGAGACCTAGACTGGTTCCCAGTCCATCCATGGCGGACTTCAGTTATGGGGCGGGGATTAGTCTGGGAGATCATTCGTGCGCTGATGACGCCTGGCACATTCAGGATAAATAAGTCGTGCGTACTTCGCGTGCGAACCAGTACAGTATGCATATTCGGTGTGTAATGATTAAAAGAGCGCCCTCTTTTATTGGCACAGGGAGCCCATAGGCTTGCTCTTTGAGCCCAGCAATGACAGGCATTCATAGAGCACTCCAAAAATCAAGATGGCCGCAACATGATAATGGTCTATTGGCTGGTCATGTCCACCTGTTTTGTTTTGGGGGTTTTTAAATCATTTTAATGATTCACTGTATGCAAAGAGTAAAATAACAAAATGAGAGTCTAAGCCAGTCGGAAACCAATGTTAAACTATTTAAGCTTGGAGAGATTGTTTACAATGAATTGACCGTAACTGTCTCAATCTTCAGAATGTCATCTTTGAAAACTTCGTTCACAGGTTCAAGAGAAGACAGGAGACCGTATCAGCCTATGAGCACGAGTATCGGAGCGGAGGACAACATGCGTGTTCAGAGTAAGTTAACATTACAAAACAATAACAGTGCCAAGGCTGTAGTCGTGTCTATCACAAGGCTGTCACAAGTCCGGTCAAAAGTAAATCACAAGTCAGTTAAGGAGTCCAGTCAAAAGAAACAGGTGCAATACATTTAGAAGTTCCACCTAACTCTCTTTGTTTTCAAATTTCCTTTCAAAACTCTGGTTGGGGGGGGGAGCTATAGCCACTCCAGCCTTCTTGGCCTATTTTGACGAATTTTCCGATTTTATTTCTGCAACACAAATGTGATGTAACAATAGATGTGGCATCGTAAAATTTAGTTCTATATTGGCAAAATTCTAAGCAGGCCAAATAGCACCGTCTATAGTCAACACACAGCCAATTAAAAGCCCAATGTTTTATTTCCAACCCCATTGTAAATACAGGGATGATATAAACTACCGCGCCGTCCATGGAACCGCCATCTTCTTCCTGCAGAACGAGGCTGGATATCAGAAGTGGACCCCGACGAACGAGAAAATCCAGGCCATGATGGACGCTTACCGGCCGCAGAAGAGAGCACTGGACAGCGAAGCTGAGGATGGACCACCGAGGAAGAAACTGGCAACAGAAAGGGGTCCCGTTAACAAGAGTACACCCTCTGTTGATTCGCCACACTACCGACCTAAAGCTCAGAAAAGAAGCCTGGATGCTGAGACTGGAGATGACCCTCAGAGGAAGAAACGAGTGGTAGAGGACTCCCCAAGCAACTCAGCGTCGAACAGAGTCAGTGAGGATAATGACCCTCGCCACAGGAGAAAGATGGGAGCTGATGCATCCCTTGTAATGCCCCTCGGTGGATCCACGCATGATAGGCCTCTAGGGGGCCACAGAGACAGGACTAATAATGACCAGAGACCGGGACGAGATGGCAACCATCAGGGCGATCTCCACGGCGATTATGCCAGCAGCTCAAGACCTGACACGAGAATCGTCAAGTGAATACTCTGCTCCGTGACAGCCCGTCATTTGCAAGTGTCAGGAAAAATGTCTATGAGTGGCCGTGATATGTTGAGTGGCCCCCTAGCTCCTAACGTTTTTGATAACTGACCCCTCAGCTGTCAGATTTGCTCCACACTCTATAATATCTGGTTGTAGATATTTGTCTTGTATGGCAAACTGACAGGGTATTTCACCCAATAAGTTTCACCGATTCTTGCACTGCGACACATGTACAGTTCTGTTCAACAGCCCCAAATGCTTATTTCGCAGAATGCAAAACGGCAAATTTTAATGCAGTCAGTGGGTTTTAATTGCAAACGCTGAATGAGCCAAAGCTATTTTCTTGTAGATATTGGAGTTAAAAAACATCTTGTGCAAGGGGCTTAAATTTTGGTGCAGCTTTTTAATAGTAGGAGGTGGTTTTAAGTATGTCATTGTGTTTCATAAAGTATTCAGTGCTTTTGCAATCAGCCAGCACGTCAATTTTTTTTTTTTTGTATGCTGGTTTATTCTTTAATCTGTCCAATTTTGTTGGGGAATGCCTGAAGGCAATAAAAAAAATGCTTATAATTGCAAGAGTCTTAGAGGCCAACGAAATCATTTGTTGAATTTTTTGTCCTAAGTGTTTTTCATGTGGAATTGTATATTACTTGTAACCATGAGGAATTTGTTTTTTTTTATCTGTAGTATGTGTAAATAAAAGGTCATTGTTTTTCAATAATTACCGAAAAGATAACTGGAGAAAGCTCACAACTGTTAAAAGTTTTCATTTTTCAGAGGGGGGGGGGGGGGCGATATGTATTTGTTTTCTTAAATTGCACACATATTTTCTTGGCAATAATAATAAAGGGGTCTTATATAGCGCACGTATCTACCAACAATTAGGTACTCAAGGCGCTGGAAATTGTCAATTGTTAAAGAAAGGTAAATAAAGTTGTTGAAAAAATTCTATAAAAGAACAATTTCAAACCTGAGCCAGTTAAAAATTTGGTATGGCAGGTGTCTTTCAACTCGGTTAAACCCCGAGTTTCAACCCCAAACTCTGAACACTTGAAAAGGGTTCCTTTATGGAGGCTAGCCTGTTTTTGTAGTAAACCACCCTGTTGCCACTGGGAATGTGTAACATGAAGAAATGGGGTGTTCCAAAGCGAACATGAACATTCCCAAAAAAGGGGGAAAACAGGCGGAAAGCGGACTCTTTCAAAATGAACAACGGTCATTCCCAAACGAATAGGAGTGTTCTAAAAGGTACAGGATTATTTCAAAAGGACAGGAATGTTTTAAAAGAAGCCGCACTGCTTCTAAATGTACGAGCATGGTTTCAAAGGAACAGAGCGTTCAAAAATGAACTTGAGTATTTCAAGTTTTAAAGAAAACGGGAACCTTTCAAGTATTGAGACGTTCCTTCAGAGTGGTTTTACAAACATAATTATGGTACTTCGTGTCTTATTCTTGGGAAAAAAATATTTTGAAACGTTTTACTTTACTTTACGGCTTCAATGGTTTTTAAACGACAAAAACTGTCGAAAAAGAAATAATCCCGTCGGATAACAGAACAGTAATGAGTTAAATTGAATGTAGCAGATCGAATGTTTTAATGTAAAAGCTGTTGTATGTATTAGACATTGTTTTAAATTCTTGTAAACGGAAGTGTATTTTTATTCAACATTTTAGGTTGAATGGTGTAAATATGTATAGAAAACAAACAAACAAAAAATGTAATTAAAATATGTAATTTCCCCCAAGATTCAGTTACAGTAAGAGTGACCCCAAACTATCCAAGGGACTTCTGTTTAAAAAAAGTGAATGAAAATTTAACCAATTTTGGTCTAAATTTTTGTGGGAATTTTACTACCAAAAAAACATTTAATCCAAGAGCCAACTAGTCATGGAATTTTTTTTTTACTTTTTTTTTTATTTGTATAAATATGGGTTTTATGCTTCAATCATTAAAGAGCATAAGATTGTATCTTCAAGCCTGATGTAAAACACACGGGATATGTAAACCATGTCCTTGGGCAAAAATTTGCCAATGATGCAGCTTTGGGGCTTTGTGTCTGGTACCCTCAATGCAAACGGGTGTCACAGTGCCTATTCGTGATGGACGGTTATTGTCGCCAGACTGAATGGTGTTCTTGGCTTGCCATTACTCAGTGCAAAACTGGAGTGTCTCTGGCTGTGGCTGTGGCTATGCCACACTGTGATATGGATGTGCAGAAACTAAGGCTGCGTCTGAATAACATGGCTATGGCTAGCAGTAGTACACAGGTCTATAGGAAGTGGATTCTAATGCCTTCCATTGACGCAGATGTTATTAGCCACAGCCAAGTCATTTAGATGCAGCTGGAGAAAAATTGGGATCATTTTTTTTTTTTTTTTTCAATACTGGTCCCTATTTAGAAAACAAGTAAAACAATGCAGAAAACACAGTAATGCAATGTGTGTATTGTGGGGTATTAACATTATTTTAATGTAAGTTGAACCAAAACAAATGCAGATCCAAAATATAATGATGTTAAAAAAAACTGTTATGATTACATAGGTCTGTAGAACCGCTGAGGCAAGCGATCTTATTTTTAGACTGATGGCTGCCCCCTCCTAGCCTGCAGACCTGACCTTAACATACATGTCGAGAACAGGCAACGTGGTCAAAGTTTCTGAAATTTGATTGGATGCTACGCGCCTAGCCTTTAATCTGATTGGCTAAATACTCAACCTTGTTAACATGCATATTGAGTTGCCTATTCAAATACATGAGGACATGTAATAAGTTGACCTCGCATCAAAGGTCAGTTGGACAATGATGCACAGGCCGTTTTCTGACTCTGTTTCTGGTTGAGCAATATTGAGGCTGGGTGTACTAGCCCCATCTTTCAAAGTCTAGAATGTAATGGAGGGACTAGGAACCAGTCTACTTTACTCTTGCGAAACTCTTTCTGTATTTGTTTGGCACACTAATTTGCCCCCCCCCCCAAATAAAAAAACTCAGAAAGAACAGAAAAAGTTGCCCTTTGTTGCCCTTCATTGTACTTCATTGTATAGTGCCCTTAATGTTTAGGTTGGGCCCAAGTCATATTGGGAAGGCCATTTGATATTGATAGTTTGTTATTTGCTTTTTTATTTTTGCAACTTACACACTTGTTGAGTTTTGTATTTTTTGGTCATCTAGTAAAACTTTTGCTTGGTTCTGATTGTGTAATGTTATTTTCTGCATCACTGGAGTTAACATGCTGGAAATGTAAATACTGCAATGACGGATTGGCGAAAACATTTTTAAATGTTTTTATTTAATGATATGCTTGGATTATTGGGTGGGAATTGTTTATGTGACAATGTTCAACAATGCTGTCTGTTTATTTTTTGTGAATTTTGTTTACTTTTGTTTTTGTTTTTTACACTTTTGCCAGATTGATTTTTGTATACACTTTATAGTGTATTGTTATACAACATGTCTGTACTGTGCATGACATTTTGACCAGTGTGTGCAGAACACACTGTATTTTTCACTTTTCGTGGGGGGGGGGGGAGTGATATTGAATTGATTATGTATGCACATACTTAAATGTCAGTTAGTTTTGCATCAGACAACATTGAGGAATAGTTGTTTTAACAAATTGTTGTGTTATCTATGGGATGATTAAAGAAACTTTTGGAATGCAATTCACACTGAAATTTTGACAAATCATGAGAGAAAGAAATTCTCGTAACACAACTTAATAAAGAAAGATCAACATTAAGAAACATCTTGTGAAATTTGTCTTTTATTTTATAACATACTGTTTAATATCATGCATTTACCCTAAGTGCATTAAGTATCTTTTTAATTAAATCAATTAATCAATCAATTAAATTCAAGGTTCCACTCAAACAATGCAATTATTCCGATGAGAAGGCCTTAAAATGTCATAAGAAGTTGTAAATTCGGGCCAGGCAGAAAGAATAGCACAAGACTGACTACGGTTTAATTTAAAAGTCCTTTCAGAGAGCCCAAATCAGCTTCATTAAAAAAAACATAATGGCCAAGATTTCATTAAGTTTGGAAAAAAAAAACAGAAATACAACAAGTTAAAACGAGTTATTAATTATTAAATGACGATTTTGCTGTTGGATTGTATTTTTCAGAAGGCATGGCTCCATGCTTGGCCTTGGCGCTCGTGAGAAAAAAATTATAATTGGTTAATTTTTATTCGAGGAAACGCCTAACATTGACAATGTAATGAAAGTTCCTTGACCTTGAATTGAACCCAACAACGGAGAGGCGCCTGTGCAGGGTCGTGCCCTCACCTTCACCCGAATGTTTTGTTACGTCAAATTGTAAAAATCGATCATTTGTTTAGTCGGGTTCCCTTCGGGAATAGAGCGTATTACATTGCGAAAACGTCTAGGTTCCTTGCAGGTCTATCACAGAAATTCGTCTGCTCGAGATTCTGCAGAGGACTGCTGTTTTGTTAGTTGGGTTGTGTACTTTCTTGCCTTCCTGACGTTACTGCCTGGTTTTTTTCTTTGGAAATGTGACTATTCAATACGTCTTATAATTCACATCACGCCACGTTTTATGTGTTCTCGCGTCGTGAACAGGTGGGCCTACTGAAGTTTTGGGACCGAGATTTTGAGACGTCGAAAAAAAAACCCTGTGAAGCTTGTGTGCACTGTCAATTTCTTCAAGAAAATTTGAGGTACGTTTGGAAAGAATTCCATACCTGGAAATCACTTGACACGGTGTGCACAAACCCTAAGAAGTATATGAGACTGGTCTGAAAAAAATTCTAAGTGTAGTAAAAGCCTCAACATTTTCCCTGCTAAATTTGACTTTTTAATTTTAGGACATGTTTGTCAGCATGGTCAGTTTAGTGTAGCCCCATAAATATGGCCAATTTACTGGACTACCTCCGTAAATAAAGGCCACATTTCGAACATGTACAAAAACATGTCAAACTTTGTCAAATTTTGATTTTCACATTAGGCTTAGTTTGTAGTTTATTTTTGTTTTAGAAGCATACTCACCCTCTTCATAAAAGTGCTGCCTTTTTCAGATGTCTATTTTTCGTGAAATTTCATGTTGAAATATTGATACGCCAACGTGTGCAAACAAATCTGGAAATTTCACGAAAAACAGACATCTGAAAAAGGCAGCACTTTCTGATTAGCCAGTTAGTGGGTCTAGATTGACATATGGTTTTGTTTCATTATACCCAGGTGTATAGGTTTTTCTTTGTTAATAGTTTGTGTAAACTTGCTGTCATTTTCTAACATCAGCAATAAGTGACAAAGCGATGGGAGAGCCTGTGACATGGCATAGAGATGGCAGCCATCACAGCACAGTGCTAGAAATGTTGGAACGATTTCGCACTGAGGGTCACCTCTGCGATGTGACGCTGAAGATTGACGACCGCTGCATACAAGCACATAGGTGAGAGTTAGTTCAGATCAAACTCTAATAATGGAAAAGTTTATATTACTGCTATTAATTCAATTTGCTAATTTCTGTGGCTAGGCACTCCAGAAAATTAGTCTCTGGTTCTGAGTACATATTTGAGAACTTCAACTTCTTTTAATGCCCACATTTTCCAT